ATTTGGATGGGAGCGAAATAAAGATTTTGGCCTGTAAGTACCACCAAATTAAAAACATTATTTGCGCCCATGACAAAGTGTGTGTGTTCTAACGCATTATGTTCAATTTTCATAAAAAGAAGAAAAACTATTATGTGGTATTGTTTATTCTGAATTTTAGGACGCTATTCATAAATACGCAGAGTTTATTATAAATTATTACTTTATAAACAGATATGCTTAGAGTACGGTAGTTTGATATAAGCCATAAAGTTGTGAGTAACATTTATACATACATATACTGAAAAAGCAAGAAGCATATTGTCGATAGTCATAATTGATAATAAAAGCTGCGTATCTGTGAATAGTAAAAATCATTAAACATAAATACTTAATGAACGTTATTATATCATTTAACAAAATCAAAAAATATTGAATATATATGCGTTATATTAAAATCTTACAATATCATTTAAATTTAGACCCTGAAATATTATAAAATTATCAAAGGAGCTAATCATATTTTTAGTTCCAATGGTGATAAATGTAAACTACACTTTTTTTGAATGCAAAAAATAAAATTTTCTTATATAACTGATTTATTGTTTATTGATATACGATAGAAAAATTGGTCCTTTATATAAATTATAAAAATATTTAAACCTTGTTTTCGAGAAAAAATCATACAATCCTCCAATGCCTATTTTTGTCTCAGACAAATATAATGTCATTAAATGTATAATAAATCAAAAATCAAGTAAATTATTGATGAATAAAAAGAATAATTAAATACTTTTCTCCATACTTTGAAAATAATTTTTTTAAAACCAAAATCATGCGACTTATATAGTCTTACAGACTCGACTATGATGAATTCTAAATTAAGAATAAATATATTAAAATTTAATTTAACATGATAAGTATAAGGAGCTTTTGAAATTAGAACATAATAATTATGTTATAAATTATTTGTAATTATTAGGAATGCTTTGAGAAAAATATAATTTTACAATACAAAATATGAGTATTTAAAATTTTTTTACATCATATTTGAATCTTTGCGGCTGAATAATGTATTTTATTTAATAAATAAAATGTAAAATAATTTTTAGATTTGATATAATAATTCAAACGAATATTCCTACAGGTATTTGAAATAATATTCTATTTAAGTATGAAATTAACTAGTATAATAACTGCGTGATTCAGTTCAAGATAATTTATGTTCCCTTACAGTTTTATATGTTTGCAAAACTGTGAAAAATAATTTCAATCGGACTTTTTTAAAATTATTAACACGCAGCTTAAAACTAAATTATTTTAACATAATGCTTATAAAAGAAATAATATTTTTAACGAAAATATCTTTATATTTGATCATATTGTAGTAAAAAGTGAGATGGTGTGATCGGTCACACAGAAGTGCTTGCTGTGCACTGTTTCAAAATAAAAAAAAACCCAGCACAGGGGGATTGCGGCACAGTGGTGACTTGGTATAGTTGGATCAAGTATAATGATATCTGAAAGTGATTAAAATCACTATCAAAATAAAACGCTTCGATGCAAATCTATAGATAGTGATTAATTTTAAAAAATTGGGGTATTATTCCAAAAGCTACATGATCTGCTAGTTCCTTATTAATATCCTGATTAAGATAAACTATGTCGATAGTTAAAGAGATTATTAAAAAATATTATTTCTCATAAAAAAATTGTGTTGTTTCATACACTTTTCAATAAGTTATGCATTATAAAGTTATAACATCGAAGCTAAAAGTAAAAAATAAAATCGAGAATTTTCACACAAAAATAGCATTTGGCAAATTTTTTTTTTCATAATAAAGTATATTACATTAGCTTTAATTTAAGATATATATAAAAGTGTCAGACTTTCCGGAACATTTTCAAAATTTAAGTTAAAAAAATTAATTTTTTGTGAAAAAGTGGTCATTTTAAATCCCCCCCTTTGGGCAGGTAATGGATCATATATAAAAAAAAAAATATACAAAATGAAAAGTAATGATGTCATGCATCTATATAAAAAAAATTATATTGATTTGGTTATTTTTAAAAAAGTTATGGTACTTTTAAGTAAAAAAAAATGAAAAAATTTCGAAAATTAGCGATTTTTAAATTTGTCATTTTTTGGGAGGTTTCCCCCATTTACGGTGAACGAGGGAATTTTTTTCAATTTTTGAGGATAATGTCTTCGACTAGATACGATTTGTGATCTTTTGACGTTTGGGTTGGGTTAACCCATTGGAGAGCTGAGAAAAAGTGGTAACAGACAAAAAAAAAAACACATCTTAGTAAAACTAATACCTTCTCAGCTTCGCATCGAAGCTAATACTATGGTAAAAACAACCTAAAAACAAACAAAATCTTTTTTTTCGTTTCATCAGGGATAAAATCCCTTATTTATAATTTTCTTAAATAAGAACCCATTTTTTTTAACTTCATAATATAATAGAAAAATAAATTACTCAATTCTTACAATTTTTGTAATCGATCAACCATTTGTGTTATTTCACATTATTTAATGATTTGGATTTCATGTAAAAATTTATCATTAATTTGGTATTACTATACTGATAGCAGTGCAATCGGTATTATTTCTGCTATCATGGCGGTAATCTGTTATAAATAATGTTCTACGTCGGTTATCTAAGTGAGAGATAGCAATAATATATTGTCGTTATCGAAATAGAATATTGACAAAAAAAATTATTTCTAAACTATATCCTATTCTTAAAAATACAATTATTAAGGCATATAATGGTGTCTACTAGGGACATTTGACAATAATAAATAATAAAACAATAATAAAAATAGCAAATGTTGTGTATGCTGTTAGAGGATTGTTTAATAGTTGAGGATCTTGGTCAAAACCAAGAATCAGAATCTATTCGACGTATATCGTCCCTATCTCCCTAAATGAGTTTCAATTACCTGAAGGAGACATAGGCAATCGTGTACCTTAGTTACAGGGGATAAATTATTAAATAAAATTAGACTATTGTATTATGTCAACGACAAAGTAAAGTTATATTTTAGATGTTCAGTAAATATAAGTTATATGTAATGTACAATACTTCTGATCTGAATCCTAGTACAGTTGGTTTGTAGGTATATCCAAATGAGACGGAGTTGGTTATGATGAAAATTGCCAATGAATAAAACAAGTTATAAAGTTATTAATAATATAAATAAGACGAAAGTAATAGTATTGAAAACTATGTCTATAACGGCCACTCAAACACAATTGCCCTTTGTTAGTTCGACGTCAGTAGCTTCGAGCTACAGACGAGTAGAATTGTTACATCAGCATCTTCCTCTATGCTAATTAATATCTATTACGAATTAAATAAATAGAAATAAAACGTGTGTAATATAAGTAGTAAGAATATAGTAATACATTTTTTTATAATTCTGATTTCAATAAAGCATTTCTTCGCGTTGATAAAAATTCTAAAATCATATTGCGTTGAAAATGCTTTTCATTTATTCTATTTTAAAATATTATTTTTATCGTATATGTTGAGGGTATAAGTCTACTTTACCAGGCATCCTTTTTTTTTAACATTTTTTTTTCTAAACGTTCGTTTTTTTATGTAGATTAAAATAATATGTAAAAATTTTCGAGCGGAAGTTTGTGATTCAAGCAGAAGGTTGTCAACGGGTGGTCGTTTCATAAAACTATCAAGTGTCGCAATCTGTTATCTTTATAACAATATATAGTGTGAATGTATATACAATATTTTATAAATATAAAAGACACATCAAATAACACCGTGGTCTTTTTTTTTTTTGCTACACTTAAATTAATGGGGTTTCATGTAATTATATAATCACTTATACAAAACATTTTAAAAACCCATTTTTTTTTGTATTGTGTAATTTTGAAAAAAAAAAGAAAAAATTGGAAAATCCTTGTTTTTTTAATTATTTTTGGTTTTAGGGTTTTTAGATTGAGGATATTACGTAGTGGTTATGTCATTGTAGTTTTACAATATTTTCATGAAAAAAAACCCAAAAATTAACAAAAAAAAAACTATTTTAGAACTATTTTTAATTTTATGACATTTTAACCTAAAAAAAGCTATAACTTTTGAACCAAAAGTTTTCGCCAATTTTTTCAAACATTTTTGAAAAAAGCATAAAAAAACGAACGTTTTTGAAAAAAAAAAGGGTCCCTGGTATAGTAGACTTGTTCCATGTTGAGCTTCTTAAAGATAATTTACATTGTGCGCATTGATACAAAAATTTAATAGATTTTATGAATAACTTTTGATAGTTGAATGGAAACCTATTTTATTTTTTTACTATTAAATATAGATTGGTTTAAATAAAATGCTAACTTGTCGAGAACCAGTTTTGTTTTAATAATTTTTGAGATATTAGTATTTGATGATTTAGAATATAGAATAAAGAATAATTAAAAAATAAAAATAAATAAAGTTTATATTTTATTTTTTGTTAATCATGTTTATAGTCCCCTCTAAAATATATTGCTTGTGCAAGAGATGTGAGAGTACCTACAGAGCCCAGCTCAACGGAATCGAACCCCAATACCTACGCCCTGAGGTACGACACATTATTGTCAACCGTCACAGAAATAAACACTACACTAAAATCGATACCTTCTAAGATTGGAATTGACGCTATAAAACAATAATGATATAAATATTATAAAATAATATCTAATAGGCATATTATAAACATTTAGGTAAACACATAAAAAAGTTAAAATTTATTTATTGAGTTACATTGAAATTCATTCAATTAGTAACTCTTTAAAATTAAAAAATGTAAAAGCAATTACCAATTTTTATCATATGTCATACATAAATAAAATAGTATAATTTATATATTATTGTCATAGATGATGTGAAAAATATGCTAATAAGGTTTTATTTTAAAATAATTTTAGCTTATTTTTAATATTTGTTTTTTTTTATTTGCGTTTTTTTTTATATTTATTACTATAATACCTATAAAAATGCGTAAATTCAATGAAAAATTAATAAAATATATTGTAAGTTATAAGTCAGCCAATTACATTATATAAATCTAATTATTCTTGTGAAATGTTTTACAAAATATATACTTTTTTATTAATTTTTATGTGTGGACATTTTTTTGAAGAAGTTTTTGGAAATATACTTTTAATTAACCCGGTAATTTAAATAGTTTATTAAATAATAATTAATTTAGTAGTTTAGTATAGATACTTTTTATAATTTTCATGAGACAATTTTAGTACAAAACACCAATGAAAATTTAACACTTTCTTTGAATTAAGAAAGTCATTGTATAGCTTTATTTTTCAAATACACCTGAAAGTATTGTTATTTAAATAAATAATTTTTATTGCTAACTATGATTACAATTATGAAATCTCTATTTAAAATTTTAAAATATGTTTTTTTTTTATATAGGAAGAAGTGATATTAGATAATAGAAAACAATATAATGGTTATGTAGGTTTAATTATTATTATTATTAACTTCAATACATTTTATGAATCAACTATTTTGAAATTTAAGTTAATAATATTATCATTTTATGGTAATATAATAGCATACAGAAGCTATGTGGATTACGGGGGAACATTTTAAGAGGCCTTCAAATGTAAGTTTTAATTGTGTATTCTTAGAATCAAAAAAGTCTTCATATAGTTTTATTTATCATATACACCTTAAATTATTATTTTTTAAATAAATAATTTTTCATTCATACTGTGATTATAAATTTCAAATCTTTATATAAAATTTTCAAATATGGTTTTTTTCATATAGAAAGAAATAATAGTATATGATAGTTGGGACAAAACTGTTTATGTAAGTTTACTCATTATTAAATGTCAATAAATTTTAGGAATCAACTATTTTGAAATTAAAATTAATAATATTAACATTCAATGGTTATATTATAGTATATAGATGCCAAGTGGATTATTGAGACATATAGTTTGAAACCTTCAAAAGTAAGCTTTTATTGTATATTGTTACCACCTAGACACTATTATAATTTTGTAATATTTAATAAAAACATTCTACCGTAAAATCTTTTATTTTAGAAATATTTAATGTGTGGTCCTTTAATATTGGTGAGAATTATTTTAACTAAATATTATAACAGCCTTAATAATAAGGGAATACGGGTTTTGAGTTTCTAATTTAATAGTAAATGGCGTTTACTATTAAATCTAATATTTTATATTATATAATTTTATATCATTCTAAAGGTGTTTATTTGTTTTTTCAATGTAAACACATATTTTGAATTTAATAAATTGTTTGAGTTTTTAATAAAAAATTATTTGTATATTAGATATAAGATTTTAAAGTTTCAACTTTTTGAATTAATATACATGTATAATACGCAACGGATTACAAATTCAGGTAGTTAATTGCTATTTTAAGATGTGGCTTATTCACAGATACGGAACGTTTATTGTTAATGATGACTATCGGTAGATATGCTTTCTGTATTTAAGTTGAGTATTTTTAAATGTATAGATGATTCAATCGCACAAGAATTATTTAAAATATTAATTAACGGAATAAAATTATGATTATTATGAAGTGGATTGTATTAAAACGGTAAATAAATAAGTTAAATAGTATGTCTGCGCGCATTCTCGTACGTTATATCACTGTTATTATTCATCAGAAAATCATCGGCCGGTCTTTTTATTGCTATAGAAAAAACGGTAGAATAGTGGGGTCGTGGCACGGTATGGAGGTGACATAGGTTGAACAAGTATAGATGATATCTGACAAAGTTTGAAATCACTATCATAAAAAACGTTTCGTTGCTAATCTGTAGATAGTGTTTAATTTTTAGCAATCGTTGAATTATTCCAAAAGCAAAATTAATTCCTATTTTTTGTTCTACTTCGACTGCCATTTACACAAAGAAAATAAGTCGTCGGTACAAATTATTTTTTTTTAAACTTCTAGTACATAAAATAAGCTTTTTAAAAGACACTACAATCCCGGAACATTTTCATAAAGTTAAGTTAAACGAGTTATACCTTTTATACAAATTTTGAAGTTTTCAAAAAAAATGTATTAACTCTGATTAAGCAAATATGACATATGTTTAAAAGACGCAGTATTTCCGGAATATTTATAAACGTTAAGTAGACGAAGTTGAGTTTTGTAAAATCGTTTATTTTTGAATACCTCTTATGTGCAGGTGTAAAGGGTCAGATTTTCATAAATATTATATAAAATAAAAGGGAATTACTTCAGATTTCCGTATAAAAGCAAGTTATTTTAATTTGTTAATTTTTCTAAAAGTTATAGAAAAAATTTTTAAATTTACCGATTTCGAAAATCAAAATTTTTTGGGGGATTTCCACGGTGGACGAGGGGAATATTTATCATTTTTAAGGGTAATGTCTTTATCTAGATACGATTTGTTAATTTATTACGTTGGGAAAAACTGTATCGTTGAGAGAATTTTCAAGTGAGAGCTAAGAAAAAGTAGTCACAGCCACAAAACAAAAAATAAACACATCAAAGTAAAATTAGTACCTTTATAGTTTCGCATGGAAACTAAAAAATATTTTGACAAGTCACGCCCGTCAGTGCTATTTATTTTAAGTTTCTACGTGATACGGCCTCGTATCACGATTTAACATTCACAAAATGTAATTTCTGATTATTACCAAACTAGGCCAGTCAACAAAGAAAAAATGGCGGAAAAAATTCCCAACCAAATTTTTATTTTTTAAAAAGTTGAATTAAGATATGTATAATGACATACTAAAAGTCCTCATCGATTGGACTTGAGCTTTTTTTTTTACAGCCTCGCAAAAGTTCAAAAATATGAGCTTTTTTAATTTTCTCAAAAAATATTTAACTTACAAAAAAAAGTTTCGTATAAAAGTTCTTTAAAAAACAATTTTAAACAAAAAAGGTATCTTGTATTTTTTCATTCAAACAAATATTTTTCGAGTTACATTACATTTAATATGAGTACTAAAATTTATTTTCCAATTTTTTTCATTTTACGGTTACTTTTTATCATGTTAACCTTACATTAGACAAAATGTTATAAATGCATATGTGTGTATGTGTAAGTTTATTTATTTATAGTATCATTAAAGTGTAGTGTATAATAAGATACAACCGATAAAGTAAGTAATTGATTTGACGCTATATTGTTTAAACCCAACTAAACGCTAAATTGTACATTCCTAAACAACATTTATATTATGTCAATTGCCACCGGAATTTCTGCGAATAATAAAGATAATTGTCATAAAACGGCCTTTAGTCTGGTGCTGGAGGTGGTAAAAGTTGTGGCTGCCGAAAAACAGGGCTTCAATGTTCTATTATATGTGAACATTGCAAAGGTCATTGGTGTATAAATTCAATAGAAATAAAGATTGAAGATTAAGAAAATTGTACTTTTGTTGAAGATATATTCTATCAAAATTTAGAATGGGAAAATGAATAAGAAAATGGAAAAACATTTTGTTTGATACACTTGTCAAATAACTTTATAGTGGAGAAATCCTCCATCGATTACATACTTTGCACTAGTAATGCATATAACTTGTATTTAGGATATAAATACGGAAATAGGAGATCATGTAGTTTTTGTAATAATCCATTAAAATTTTAAAATTAAACACTATCTACAGATTTGCATCAAGGCGTTGTTTTTTGATAATGATTTTAATCATTGTCACATATCATCTATACTGCACCCAATTATACACACTGTGCCGGGACACTGCTGGTTTTTTTTTAAATAGCGATTAGTTGAAATAGTAGCAGTGGGTTTACTTTAATTATTTTATTATTAATTTTAACAATAGAAGTTATTGAAGATACAGTTATAACTTTATTTGATCTTTTAAGATCTATATCATGAAAGTTATTATCTACCATTGAGTTTACTAGAACAAGACCAATTTTGGACACTTTATGACAATTAAATTTATCATTACCAGAAATTCTGGCTGGGTTGACAAAAGAGAACATGAGGTAGGTGAAATGAGGAGATCAGTGACAATAGGCGAGAGTGTGAATGGGGAGGTAGAAGGTTTTAAGTATTTAGGATCAATAGTGCAAAAGAGCGATGGTATTGACGAGAATGTAAGACACAGGTTTAAGTGCGGGTGGTTGAAGTAGAGAGAAGCGTCTGGTGTCTTATGCGATAAAAGATTTCCAATGAGGCTAAAAGATAAATTATACAACAATGTAGTGAGACTAGCTATGATGTATGGTTCAGAGTGTTGGGCGGTTGATAAGAAAGTAGAGCAGAGAATGAGTGTAGCAGAGAAGAATGCTTAGTTGGATGAGTGGAGTGACTAGAAAAGATAGAAAAGGAACGAGCATATAAGAGGGAATGTAAGTGTAGCGTCAATCGTGTATAAGATGAGAGAAAATAGACTTGGATGGTTTGATTATGTTATGAGGAGAGAAGAATCGGAAGCTGTAAGAACAGTTATAGAAATTAATGTTGAAGGAAGAAGAGGTAGAGGAAGACCAAAAAAGAGATGGAGGGATGCTATTGAATGCAATTTGAGGACAGTGGATGTGAGCGAAGAAGATGTGAGAGATCGTGTCAAGTGGAAGTTTAGGATGAGGGTGGCCGACCCCAAGTAGTTGGGATTAAGGCAAATAAAAAGAAAAAGATTAGCAAAAATTCTGGTGGCAATTGACATAATATAAATGTTGTTTAGGAATGTACAATTTAGCGTTTAGTTGGGTTTAAACAATATAGCGTCAAATCAATTACTTACTTTATCGGTTGTATCTTATTATACACTACACTTTAATGATACTATAAATAAATAAACTTACACATACACACATATGCATTTATAACATTTTGTCTAATGTAAGTTTAACATGATAAAAAGTAACCGTAAAATGAAAAAAATTGGAAAATAAATTTTAGTACTCATATTAAATGTAATGTAACTCGAAAAATATTTGTTTGAATGAAAAAATACAAGATACCTTTTTTGTTTAAAATTGTTTTTTAAAGAACTTTTATACGAAACTTTTTTTTGTAAGTTAAATATTTTTTGAGAAAATTAAAAAAGCTCATATTTTTGAACTTTTGCGAGGCTGTAAAAAAAAAAGCTCAAGTCCAATCGATGAGGACTTTTAGTATGTCATTATACATATCTTAATTCAACTTTTTAAAAAATAAAAATTTGGTTGGGAATTTTTTCCGCCATTCGCCAAAATTACTCCTTCGTTGACTAGCCTAAACTGAATGAATATATTTTTGGATTTTATTTTCAGGATTTTGAAAATAAAAATGAGATTTTCGCAGAACTTTATGTGAATTTTGTAAGTATCTTAAATCATAAATGTAATCAATAAGAGATGACAGGCCACTTATGGAAAACTTAACATTTACTGGTACAATTTGATTGTGATGGGAGAGGAAGTTAATATTTCTTATTTAAAAACTTTCAATATGAAATTTTTAAAATCACAGATTTATATAATAATAAATAAAAATAAAAATAAAATACTTAAATATTGTTGTATTAATTTTTAGTAAAGAAATTATTGATATTTTTATATATTTTTTAGAATACCATCATTGTTGAAAACATAGAGAATAATGACATAATATATATTAAAATCGTATGTCACTTTTATTATAAAATTTGAATATTCAAGAACATAATATTATTAAATCATCAATTACTTAATTAATCGAAAAATAAATAGAATATTGAAAATTTTACTCTTAATGTATTTAATTTTATGTTTTTCTCAATTTACAAAACATGCTTTTGATACATTAATGTTGACAAACATGAAAAAAACTCCATAATTTTAAATTTAAAAAACTAAAGGAATCAAGAACAAAATTATCAATACTGTATTAGTTTTTTTATTAATTAAATGGTGAATAATAAAATTAAATGCTGTAGAACGTATTTATTTTATTATTAATATTATAATATATACTTGGTTCGGGAAACTCATTGACCATAAGATTTGTGTTGTTAATACATTATTGCAGTTTATTATAATATATTATTATAAAAATAATTATTATTTTATTCTAGTAATTATTTTCTTATAATTAGTTGAACTACCACAGTAACTAAAAAGAACTTTATCTAATAATTATTCAAGAGCATTTGGGTGGCTGCCATTTATATATGAAGGAAAATTATAATTCAAAATTTTGAGATCACAGCTGGAAATTTTTCATTCCAAATATTTTTTTTCGTTTTATTACTGTGTAAACCAATTAAAAAACTGTATAATACTTTCAATATTTCTTAAAGAGACTGGTGGTGACTCCTTTTAACTAGGGATTACACACATAATACATTTTTTAAGCATAACATTAATTACGCTAATGTATATAACAGTGGCGGCACTGTTTATAGGGACACTGTTATCACTGTTGTAATTTATATAATCATATAAATTTAATGTGTAAAGTCTATGGTAACATTTTTAATAATTAATAATTATTTTTATTTTATATAATTTAAAGAGTATACAGAAATAAGTTTTAAATTATCGATTCTTTATTATTTATTGTTTATGTGTGTATTTGTTATACAATTTAGTATTAATTAACCACTTTATTGTAGAATCGATCAATTTATTATTCAACAAAATTACAAATCGATAATTTAAAACTTATTACAGTATTCTCTTTAAATTATATAAAATAAAAATAATTATTAATTATTAAAAATGTTGCCATAGATTTTACACATTAAATCTATATGATTATACAAATTACAACATTGATAACAGTGTCCCTATAAACAGTGCCGCCACACAGGTGTTGAGCAAGATGTCGAATTTGACCATTCTTTCTAACTAATTAAAATTTTAAACACGATTAAAATGAATTAATGAGTTTTTTATCAAGTGATTTAAATATATCAAGATACAATTTTTTCCAAGTTTTAAGTTCTTATGGTAAATATTTTCTTTAATAGCTTTAATAAAATCTTAAAGGTACAAATTGCCCAATTTCCCCTAAGTAATATATCACAAGACAATGGTTGATTGATGTTGGTGCATGATAGGAAATCAAGTCTTGCTAATAGTTCATTTATCTTCTCTGTTGTAATTTTCTGGACAGTTTTTATTTCATTTGCTTCTTTGTACATCCGTTTGCTAAAATAAGGTTCTTAGTTGAATATTCTGACTTAGTGCAACTTTGATTTCGTGTCCACTGTTTTTCGGGTGTTCAGCTACCGTGGATTTTTCTTTCTTTTGGTAATCAACGTCTTCTTCGTATTGTTTTATTCTTTTCATATTTGTCCAATGTATGATTTACCATATTAATACAGTACTTCATAAACACCTGGTATTTGCATTTCTGATAGATGGCCTTTCTGATTTCGGAGTAGTTATCCCAAAACTTTGTTCGGTTTCAGAACGGTTCTTATTTTGAATTATTCTGCGATTTTTGAAATGCGATCGATAATTCCTCGTATATACGGCAGTAATTGTGTTCCTTTATTGTCATCTTCTTCTTTTTTCATCATCATTTTTGCACGTTGCAGATTTTCTTTTTTCTGTTTTCCTAAGTGTCTTGTTTATGTTTATGATTGTATATTCATTATTTTGTAATGCTTGCTACGTAGTGCGTAATATGTCTCCTTTTGGAGTTTTCCTGGAACTAAAGTAAAATTACCAAATCGTATCGCTATGAAGAAGTACTCGGCGACAAGTCTGAAACCTGACGTTTCGGACTTGTTGTCTGGTTAGGTTTATTGGAAATATGTATTAATATTTCAAGCAATACGAAAATTCACGATAGCTTTAGCACAATTTTATTTGATTTTATAATTTTTACACATAAATCACTCAATAATCGAGATTTAATATAGTTTAAAGTTATTTGGATTAAACTTTTTTTTGTTAAAAACACTCACATGATTGTTTTTATGAACTGATTAATGAGTTTTTTATAGCATTTTTAAGAACATTGTATCATGTTGAAATTACTATGATTGTTTTATTAGAACTTTTAGAAAACCTACATGGAACAGATATTGAATTTTAGAATCAATTATTTTGTTTTCTAAATATTTCTTTCGGACGAATGAGTTTCTTTTTAAGGAAAAATATTCGATTATGCTTATTTACATTCTAAAAAATATAAATTCTTTTTATTTTTTATAATTATTGTTATTTATATTTTGAAGACATTCGAAAAAGAAAACATTATATTAAATTACAAAGGAAATGATAACTATTTCGAATACAATGGTATGTATAGGTTATGTTAATAAATCCATATTTCACCTGTTGAAACAGATTAATTTTTTTTATTTACAGTAGAAGAAATGAATCTGAAACTAAAGTCATTTATACGAAAAATAAACAAACTACTTCTAATCAGAATAATTAAAATTCAAGTGAGTTTATTAATATGTCTACGTGTGTACTTAATTTATAGTTACAATATTTTACATTTAAAATTTAATTAAAAGTAAATATAGGATACATTATGACCCAGTCAGAAATATAAAAAGTAATGTTGTAAATTCATATTTATAACATTATAAAAAAAAAAAATCCCGAGTGTAAATACAACTCAATAAAAATTATGATTAGTAGGAGTATAAAGTATGAGTTGGGATCCCCCCAAAACGGCCCTGACCGTTTCCTCTCCCTAGGTGGACGGCCGGTGTAAACGGCCGGAGAGATATGGTGAAAGGCATAGTCCCCCTAACCACATGATGTGGGTTTACCCTGTCAAAGGTGGACGGGAGGTTTAAACGGCCGGGGGGATATGGTGTAAGGTCGATGTTTCTCGTTCCTAGATAGCATTTCTTTATACCATGGTACATGTTACCTTGGTATATGCATAGTATACCTAGGTAGCCGAGATGATTGACTCTAACAGTTACACTATTGCGTTCAGCGACAGAAAATTTTTACAAGTGGGCCTGAATCCAAAGGATGACTTCAATGTTACGGTATGCATTATTACTCCTTCACGATGTATTAGTATGTCAGCAGATTATTTAAATATTATTTACGGCATGAGGGATGAAATAACATTATTTCTACAATCACCTCCGGTAAAAGGATAAAACATTATGTTATACCAAAATGTCGATTTTAATATAACCATAGTATTGTACCATGATGCCATGCATTTAGTATTAGAATCCAGAATAGTGGATGGGTGTCGAGTGTTATTAAATAACGAAAACATTAATAGACTTATGGACTTACAGTGTACTATTAACAGGACAATATCAAGAAAAATAAAAACATGTTTACTATTAAGCCATCAAATAGACCGCATTATACAATACGCCGACGGTAAATGGTGGGGCCCTAAAATTCAACAATCAAACAATGATGAAATGGTTAATTTTATAAGAAGTTTGAACGACATAGAAATATGCGATACTATTCCTAAAGGTGACAGTAATTACATAAGCGAGTATAGTATTTGTATTACACATGATTCATTTAAGCATATTACACTTATAATGTACAATAAGTATCTGTTATAATGTCTCATAGATATATAAAGTGATCAGAGTAGACCAATTTCCTTACTACTTTACTATATGTTCGCTTTCAGTTATTATCTATTATTAGATTTGATATAACCCGATCATGATCGATAGAGATAGACAGATAAATATATATGGATTACGTACTACGTTAGATATAAGAACTAAATAATCACAGGACATATATTTCCAAATAATAGACACTTTCTATACCACTTGATTATTTTCACATTAATATGTCTATAATCATCTGTTTATACGTATAATTATTCACTTATAGAAGTTGAGATCTAGAAGATTGAGAGTAGAAGTTTTTTTTTTCTGTTGGTACTATTGAATATGCTTTGTAAATATAAGAAAAAGTATTTTCATACATGAAAATCATACATGGTAATTTACATTTTTATAAAGTGTTTATGTTAAGAAAATTGGTATATTAATAATTCTTAAATAATGTGACTATTAAGAAAATATTGTTATACTACCTGTTACTATTAATAATGTAATCAAGTTTTTAAAAAATGTTTAACTTTGATGGGACTCATAGAAAGTATTAATTTTACTATGATGTGATTGTTGCTTATTTGCCTAAAAATTCATATATAATTACTGAATAATGAATGTCACATAGATCATTGTATATAACGTTATACATGTGAGAGGGTGAAGTATTAGCTAAGAACAGGTATAGATCATTAAATATAGTTTTTAATATAAATACCCTATCTCAACACCTCGAAATGTATGATTATTTTTACTTGTAACGCTCTATGCTGAACAAGTACGCTTATAAACTATCATTTATTCAACTAACCAGCGTAGTCGAAGACATTACCCTTCAAAATTGAAAAAATTTCCCTCGTTCCCCGTAAATGAGGAAAACCTCCAAAAAAATTACATATTTAAAAATGGCTAATTTTCAAAATTTTTTCAATTTTTTTTACTAAAAACTGCCGTAACATTTCAAAAATGAACATATCAATATAATATTTTCTTTTATAGATGCTTGATGTCTTTACCTATCATTTAGTATATATTTTTTGTAAATTGAACCTTTTTTCTGCCCACAGGGGGGGATTTAAAATGACAACTTTTTCAACTTAACTTTTGAAAATGTTCCGGAAGGTCAGACACTTTTATATATATCTTAAATTAAAGCTAATGTAATATACTTTAATTTGAAAAAAAAAAATTTGACCTCTGGACTTGTTTTCACGGCGAAAATGGCTACCGAATGCAATTTTCGTGTGAAAATTCTCGATTTTATTATTTATATTAAATTTAACTTTATAATGCTATAACTTATTGAAAAGTTTATGGATCCACACAATTTTTTTATGAGAAATAATATTTTTTAATAAACCCTTTTTCATTCGACATACTTTATCTTAATCGAGATATTAATAAGGAACTAGCAGATCAAGTAGCTTTTGGAGTAAAACACCAATTTTTTTAAAATTAAACACTATCTAAAGATTTGCATCGAAGCGTATATTTTTGATAGTGATTTTAATCACTGTCAGATATCATTATACTTGATCCAACTATGCCACGTCACCACTGTGCCGCGACCTCCCTGTGCTGGGTATTTTTTTAATATCATTATAATTATTGCAGTGATTGATATGTCAAAGCAGACCGACACAATTACAGTCCCGTCTTTTGACCTACCTATTGAAATTTAAGCATCAACCTCGTTCGCCGCTAATACGACTGCATATGCTCTAGTAATTCCAGACAATGTATTTACTTAGATACCATTGGACGGTACCATCCGTATACTATCAACTATTACATTGTATGCTAAATTCTTTAGCTCGCTTATGTAATTCCTGTCACCTTTAGGAATAGTATCGCAAAATTTCTATGTCATTCAAACTTCTTATAAAATTAACCATTTCATCATTGTGTGATTGTTGAATTTTAGGGCCCCACCATTTACCGTCGGCGTATTCTATAATGCGGTCTATTTGATGGCTTAATAGTAAACGTGTTTTTATTTTTCTTGATATTGTCCTGTTAATAGTACACTGTAAGTCCATAAGTCTATTAATGTTTTCGTTATTTAATAACACTCGACACCCATCCACTATTCTGGATTCTAATACTAAATGCATGGCATCATGGTACAATACTATGGTTATATTAAAATCGACATTTTGGTATAACATAATGTTCTCTCCTTTTACCGGAGGTGATTGTAGAAATAATGTTATTTCATCCCTCATGCCGTAAATAATAATCTTAATAATCTATAATAATATTTAAATAATAATCTGCTGACATACTAATACATCGTGAAGGAGTAATAATGCATACCGTAACATTGAAGTCATCCTTTGGATTCAGGCCCACTTGCAAAAATTTTCTGTCGCTGAACGCAATAGTGTAACTGCTAGAGTCAATCATCTCGGCTGGCGGTGTTGGTGCGATATAAATGTAGCGCTGTTTTCTTACAGGTTCGGCAGCCATATTNATGTAGCGCTGTTTTCTTACAGTTTCGGCAGCCATATTATTGATAGAGTAGAGTCTTCTTTTTAGAGCTGATGGTTCTTGATGACAATGTGACTTTATCAACGATTTTATGCTCATTTATGTGGAAAAATCAAATATTTTCATAGGGAGGTCAGCAAATCATAGGACACAAACCGTATACTAACTCTTTTCTTCATCACTTAAGTAATTTCACTTTAATATCATAATAATTAATTTTAAACTTTCGACTTCTAAATATTTGTATACAAATATATGTAATAGAATATGTGTATACATGTTTTATACAATAACGATTACACATTAACAAAAAATGTCTATTAACAAACGCGGTAGTGTGACTGAATAATCAAAAAAAGAATTTGATAAAATATTATTTCAAACGTATAAATATTTTCTCTATAATTAAAAAATAACTCAATTCTTATGAAATAGTATAATATTGTACATATTTATTTATTTACTTTAATATCATAATAATGACCACCTTATGATGATTTTCATCATCACCTCCCCTTCTATGTAGAGGTAAACCGCTGATTTACTGTTTTAATACATACGTTAGTCAAGTAGGGGGCACTCTATGACCAAAGGTCTACACCTCGCATAGCTATAGTTGGGTTTCGTTGGATTAATAGCCGCCGTCGCCGCTTGATTACACCTTTCACTTTTCTGCATTCAAATATTTTCACATATTTCTAAAATTATGCAATTTTCAAAATCCCTCAAATTTTTATATAATATATCAAAGTATACTGTATGATGTTCCATTTACCTAGGTATACTATGCATATACCAAGGTAACATGTACCATGGTATAACGAAATGCTATCTAGGAACGAGAAACATCGACTTTTCACCATATTCCCCNATGAAACATCGACCTTTCACCATATTCCCCCGGCCGTTTACAACGCCCGACCACCTAAGGAGAGGAAATGGCCAGGGCCGTTTTGGGGGGGTCCCAGCTCATACTTTATACTACTACTATTATTTGTTTAATTTAAAAATTTTTTTTTTATTATTAACTATGTAATACTTTTTAAGTTCATCCCTTATGCCTTATAGTAGGGCGACGGCTGATAAAGGTGGCATGAGTGATGGGGCCGTGTCTCAATAAAAATTTGTGTATACAAGATGATTTTTTTATCATAACCGACTCAATTACTTACAGAATAAATATATTTAAACATTTTTTTATTATTTCGTTATCTTTAGTTACACATTCTTCTTGAACTATTAACAATGTAATAATTTTTAAGTTCATCCCTTATTCCTTATAAGGGGGTCAACTTTGTTTTTTTAAATGGGATCACATATTTTTAATTTAATAAAATGTTTAAGTTTTTAATTTAATAGTAAATGGCATATTAATTTTCAATATAACTTTATTCGTATATTAGATATAAACATTTAAAGTTTCAAATTCTTGAGTTATTATACATGTATAATACACAAGGTATTACAAATACAAGTAGCTAATTGGCTTTTATGACATCTCTGTCACAGTCATGGATTGTTTATTATTAATTATAACTATCAATAGATATACTTTTTATATAGTCAGTTAGTGTATTTAGGAACTCACAACAAGGTGCCGCCTTACTACCATTGATAATAACAATGATGTGTACCTGAGAATATTTATGTCATAAAAAGCCAATTAGCTACTTGTATTTGTAATACCTTGTGTATTATACATGTATAATAACTCAAGAATTTGAAACTTTAAATGTTTATATCTAATATACGAATAAAGTTATATTGAAAATTAATATGCCATTTNTAAATGTTTATATCTAATATACGAATAAAGTTATTTTGAAAATTAATATGCCATTATTTACTATTAAATTAAAAACTCAAACATTTTATTAAATTAATAATATGTGCTCCCATTTAAAAAAACAAAGTTTACCCCCCTCCAAGGCATAAGGGATGAACTTAAAAAGTATTACATAGTTAAAAATTCAAGAATAATGTGTAACTAAAGATAATAAAAAAAAAAATTTTTAAATTATTATTATTCTGTAAGTAATTGAGTGGGTTATGATAAAAAAATCACCCTGTATATATACATCTTCGTTTGCTGTATAATATTTCTGTTAAAATCATATAGCAAATTTTATTTATAGACATCTATTAATAATTTTCCTGTATTATTATTATATAAAAATTTTGTTAAATTTTAACATTATGCTTTAAAATAAAAAAATCCCTGCGACATCTTATTGTACAATTTCACGCGAGCGCAGTATGATACTGGTAAATATTTCTATAAGATTTTAATCTATATTTAAGTTCACTATGTGGTGTCCACATAGTACTGGGCGTTATTATTTAATTTACAAGTGAAATTAAAGTCATAATTGATAGATATAACAATTTGATTTTTATTGATAATACTTCTACTACTGTAATAGGTCTAGACTGACTATACGTGTAACTACATTTGTATTTGATGACCCCACTAGTCATTTATAAAGCATTAATGTTTCTCTGATCTCACTATTAGTAAGAGGGTAAGGGGTAAACAAAATCTTTGACATTGTTCCTAGTATAAAAACTCGTAAAAAAATATATTTTAGTTTTTATCATAAACTAAAAATTTACAGCCTTAAATGTTGTAAGATATACCCTATAAAATATGTTATTTATAAAGGAAGGTAATTAAGTACGATTTTATAAAAAAATTTAATTTATTTTTAACAGAGCAGTAAACTAGATAATAATACATCTTTAATAAATGATACAGTCTATGATAAACATACCGGAGAACATCTAAGAAGACTCGAGGATATGTCTTTGTGGAAATATGTCGAAGAGGAACTTATTCAATCGTATGTTTTTACAACACCCAATACAACAATTTATGATTTTATTCTTAATTCAACAATGTACGGGATTGCTATAAATTTCACTCTTAAAGAAGCAATAAGAATCATGTGCGATCGAACTTTTAAGTATGCGATTTTGCTAATGTTATATGCCTATGAGGCACTGAGAATTGATTATTGTAAAACACTATATTGGGACCAATTAATAAAGAATTTAATCAAATTGAGTGATGTATTAATAAAGTTGAATTACGACAATGAACTACTTAAAGGATTACAAGAACTTAAAAAAGGACGTCATGAACGTGAAATAATGAGTACTTTTCAAAAATTAGTGAATAAATATGTAAATATTTTCTTAACGCCCCGAGAAATAAAAATGTATGATGTAAAAACAAATATTAGTTCGAATAATAATAATTTTGAACACATTCTATCACAAATTATAATAGATAAAATATTAAAAGGATTTCCGAAACCTTGTGAAGACAACGAGCCATACAAATTTGAACTTATATGTGAAATAGAGGGAAAATTTCAGAAAATTTTTAAGTTAATTGACACAGAATTCAAAATAATTCACAGAATAGAATTTTATAATATTTTTTAACTTTTTTAGTATGGTAGATATATCATTTTTAAAAAATTTCAATGTTAATTCGATCACACTTAATTTATTCAATAATTTATTCAGCCATTTTAAAATTAATAAAAGACAAAAATAGTAATCGTATAATATGATATAATTTGTACATATGATACTCATAAGGTTTATTGTCGATATTTGTCATTATAAAATGTATTTTTGCTAAAGATCGTGTGATTTCTGATTTTATAATAAAAACAAGGACATATTATTCGTTTTAATAAAAATTATAATTTTAATTTGTTTAATTATTACAAAAAAATCATATGTATATTGTAAATTTTGAACACATCATCGCCCTGGAAAAAAAATATTCTAAACTGTGTTTTTTGATAATTAAAAAAGTATTTTTAGCTTCGATGCGAATAGTATAGCGATAGCTATAGTTGGGTTTCGTTTGATTAATAACCGCTTTCGCCGCTTGATTACTCCTTTCACTTTTCTGCATTCAAATATTTTCAAATAATTCTAAAATTATGTAATTTTTAAAATAGCTCCAATTTTCTATAATATATCAAGATATACTATATGATGTTCCATCTACCTCAGTATACTATGAATATACCAGGGTATACAATATATGATAACTGTACAAGTCCGCATTTGTCCGAAAAAGTAGTAGATGAGCATAAATAACACTTAAATCGTATACCGTCATGTATTTTCCTATGCAGCAGTTAAAAACAGTCTTTGACAACGTACACTTTTTCATACTTGTCACAAGAAAACATTTTTTAAAACGTTTAAGTGATACAACACTATTAATTTTACTCAAGTAATAATCAGTCTTTTATGTGAAAATACTCATTTATGCGGAAAAATCACATATTTTCATCGAGGGTCGGCAAATTACAGATCATATATCACTCTAAACTAGCCTTTTCGTTCACCATTTAAGTGATTTCACTTTAATATCATAATAATTAATTTTATAGTCACGATTTCTAAATATTTTTATACAAATATATGTAATAGAGTATGCGTATACTCAATATGTATACATATGTTATATCCAATAACGTTTACACATTAACAAAAAAAAAAAATATCTATTAACAAACGCAATAATGTAACTTAATATCATAATAATTAATTTAAACTATCGATTTTTAAATATTTTCTCTTTAATTACAAAATAACTCAATTCTTATGAAATAGTATAATATTGTACATATTTATTTATTTACTAATAAATATCATAATAATGATCACCTTATGATGAGTTTCATCATCACCTCCCCTTCTATGTAAGGGTAAACCGATAATTTACTGTTTTAATACATACGTTAGTCAAGTAAGGGGCTCTCTATGATCAAAGGCATACACGTCACATAGCTAAAGTTGGGTTTCGTGGGATTAATAGCCGCCGTCGCCGCTTGATTACACCTTTCACTTTTTTGCATTCAAATATTTTCATATAATTCTAAAATTATGTAATTTTTAAAATACCTCTAATTTTCTGTAATATATCAAGATATACTATATGATGTTCCATCTACCTATGGAATAGGTATACTATGCATATACCAAGGTAACTTGTACCATGATATAACGAAATGATATCTAGGAACGAGAAACATCGACCTTTCACCATATCTCCCCGGGCGTTTACACCGCCCGTCCACCTATGACTAGGTAAACACACATCATATGGGTGGGTGAGGGGACTATGCCTTTCATCATATCCCCCCAACCGTTTACACCGCCCGTCCACCTAGGACTGGGTAAACCCAGACCATGTGGGTGGGGGGACTATGCCTTTCATCATATCCCCCCGACCGTTTACACCGCCCGTCCACCTAGGACTGGGTAAACCCAGACCATGTGGGTGGGGGGACTATGCCTTTCACCATATCTCCTCGGCCGTTTACACAGGCCGTCCACCTAGGGAGAGGAAACGGCCGGGGCCGTTTTGGGGGTATCATACTTTATAGAACTACTTATACAGATAAAAATTTAAACATAAAACAAAATTAAATTTAAGTTGTACAAAAACAAATATATTAGAAAAATTAATAAAAATAATATATATTGTACAATGAAATGTTTATATAGTAAAAATGTTAGCCGACAGCAAGCTGCGGCAAAAATAAAATAATTGTAAGGTATTTATATAATTTTAAAAATAGGTTTTATAAATAAGTTTATTACGGTAAAATATTGAAAATTGGGGAATGTGGGAATTTGTGTTTGTCGATATAATGTGAATAATTAGAAAAATTGGCTGAATTATAATTGAACAATAATAGTAATAAGACATTCTGAATACTTGAGATGTTTTCTGTTAGTTTAATGTTTGTTGTCGTTAGATAAAAATTTCGTGTTCATGTTGAAAAATCAGCTAAAAAACGTAGTTATAGTGTAGTATCACATTTTAATACATGTAATAATTAATACTTATATCTAATAAAATATATCACCAAATCAGTGTTCCCCGTGGATAAGATGAGTAATAAAATAATACCCTTACACAAGATTTAACTTCCCTCTTACGCATTCCATAAAACACCCACGTAAAAGATTCTGTCACATTAACCAATCAGATACATCAAAAAATATTTCAAGAATCCCACCAGAGATCGCTAAACCAGTTTTGCGGGCTATAAAAAGGCCATTTCCCCCCAAATTCGTGTGGTTCCTTGGCTGCTTCACTTCCCTTACAGTGGTTCTTTTACTGCGTCAGCCATTCACGGTTTCTGAACATCCCTCTAGCGGACACTGGGACGCCTTGCCATTCTATCTCTGCACCTCTACGGATTTCTGGAATTCTGAACCAAGATACAAAAAGTGAATGTGCGTGAGTTTATGTTTCATTCTTAGTTACAATTCTTTATAAAATCTGCACTATTTTTACCCTCTTTCGTAATTACTGAAAATATTATACATCTTATTTTCTGTTGAATACTTTTGGTGATATAAATATTCTAACACATATAAAATAATGGTGTTTATTTATTTCTTTTTATTTACATTTATATGTATATATATATAAATAAGCATATTAAAAGGTTACATGACTAGATTGCATTGTGTTCTATTACTTATTGAAGCGCCACATCCTAGCTGGACAGAGTACTAGCACAATAATATCACAATTAATACTCCAACTAATTATAAGCGTTCTCTAAAGTGTCTCTCCGCTTATAGACTAGCTAGTCTGATCTCTGCCACAGTGCGGGCAATCGGAGTGTAGGACACTAATATAACTTATTGTGCATAAATCTATAGTACAGTCGCATCTAACCTAGGTCGTCCTACAAGTGATTGAAAAGAAGTAGGTCACATATCATAAGGGTCTTTGCATAAAGACAAAGATATTATTTGAGATCTCGCGTTGGTATTTCCAGCTACGAAATACAAATAAATCAGAGTCGAAATATTATACTAATCAACTAAACAATTAAAAAGGGTCTCTCCACTTATCGACTAGCTAGTCTGATCTCTGCCACAGTGCGGGCAATCGAAGTGTAGGACACTAGTATAATCTATTATGCAAAGAACCGAAATTGAGCTCGCATCTACCCTAGATCACTCTTTGGACGACTGAAAAGACGTAGGCCACTTGGAAATAATTTGTTGCACAGGACAGTTATGTTGTTTAGAATTTCTTTATTTGCTTTATAAATTATTAAATACTAAATATATTAAGGTAAAACACCATATACAAGGTCAAAAACTATACTACACAAATATATAAAAGGGTTTTACAAAAAACAGAGTTATAATAAACTTAGACTTCATCTTGGGTAGATTTAATATAGAATTGTACTAGAAAAGTAGTTACACGCGAGTTAATAATAACATAAACCGTATAAATATAATTTCGCACATTAATGCATACACGTATACATCAATAATTGTTACATCATCCACATCATTCATCTCAAGAGAATATCTGCCTTATCAGGATAGTCAAAGGTAAGTGAAACATTTGTTTATATAATAAGTCTATAATAGATCCTTTACTGAAGAATTTTTAGTAATACACAATTAGAACAAGATAGGTCATTGAGAATAAACTAAAATATTTTTATAAAGAAATACGATACTTGTGACTCGCCGGAAATTAGTGTACGCGTTTCTGTGTAGGAGTTAGGTAGTGACCCTTCTTTATAATTCCATATTATTCACATATTAGACGTCTTTACACAAGCATACATACCCTGAGATCCCTTTCTATTTCATTTTATTGTAGTCACTGCCCGGTATCTATAGCCACTTTTACTTTCCATTGCTGCCCATCCTTTTTGCACTACGCCGGCCACGATTATTATTTCCTCATTGGCCACCTGTGTTACATTGTAACACAGGTACATTTCTTTACATTTATTTCTTTTCACACCTAACAACATCCCTTTGCTACCACCAACTACTTATTTTTACTTTTTTTTTGTTTATTACAATAAAATCGTGTCTATCGTCGATATAATTGTGTTGAATTTTTATGTTGAGGTCGAATAATTTTCCAAATTGTATCAACTACAAAATTAATTGATCAACATTAACTACAATTGTGGTTAACTTATAGAAATTAGATTAATTTACCTCGTTTCGACTTGTAGTTTTAGGTATTTAAAAAAATAAAAGTCCAAAAAAAAATTATAACGTTCATAGTCGCGTGGGGGTCAATATGACCCATTTCAACTATTTATATTTTAAGTCATACATTTTTTTTTTCGAAGGTATTGATGAAAATCTATTCAATATTACTTTAAAAACCATCTTCTAAATTTATATCTATATACAACTATATGCAATATAATACATCCGTTTTTATTTATGTGGGGGTATGCTAGACCCCCACGCGCCTGCTTAAGGGTTAAAAGCGTGTTTTTAATTTTTTTAAACTATATTTATTTTTCACTTTTTAGTTTCATGTTATGATAGTAGTTAATATTAATATCATGGTTGTACGGGTAACGGGAAATAAGGGTTCGATTCCGGAGAGGGAGTCTAAGAAACGGTTACCACATCCAAGGAAAGCAGCAGGCGCGTAACGTGGAGGTAGTGACGAAAAATAACGATACGAGAATCATCCTCCGTAATCGGAATGAATACACTACATATCTCTTAATGAGAATAAAGTGTATTAATATATAAGTTTTAATAGTAATTAGAATATATATATATTTAAAGGGACTTAAGTACGTAAACGTATCATGCATGAGGTATAGCCGTGTTTATGTGGGCGGGCATGGCGGAGGGAACATTATACACGAGGCATATA